AAAAAAAAAAAAAAAAAAAATCGAAAAAAAAACTTGGAACTGAGTGATTTTGGGTTCAATGATTAACATGCTCGGTTGCCCTATCTTGCAAAGACGTGTAAGAGGGGAATAATGGCTGGCTGGAGTGAGCACAGTGGGAATGTATGTCTGTAGGTCGGAGTACTACTATATCCGTACACGTACCAAATCGACACGCTCGCAGTGATTATGATTCTATCACACATACATCCGAATCAGCAATCCAGCCAAGCTAGTTGTGGCTTGGACACCGATCTCTCTGTGGCACTGTGGCAAGTCGGACAGGGAACGGTTGTCGAGTGTTGAGGTCATCCTTCGATTACCATTCGCACAGCCCGTCGAGGCTAAAGAACTAGAGTGAGATAGTGAGGTGAGCTGACCAGGGTGGCACACACGCAGAGTGGCTGGTGTCTGTTTGGTTTTTTGAATTCTATTGATTGTTGGTGTTCTTTGCCTTTGTTTGCTTTTTCCTGGATCTGGTTTCCTGCATTGTAACCCAATCCCTCGGTCATGTTACTAGCCCGAGAGCACATGTATGTAGATCCCATTTCGGTAAGGACGTCGAGAACACCCGGCAAGGTAAGAGATCCATTGCGGAAAGTTTTAACTGATTGCGAGGCACAGGATGTACATGCATGCCGACATACCCAGTGGATACAACCACCACGTAGAAGGGTTCTCGGTCAAGTCTGCAGCATCGGCAGGCGTGTAGATTGTAGATCCTCCTGAAACCGTTGGCGATGATGCACAGGGAGATATCAAAGGGAAGGGGGGAACAGCACCACCAACGCTCAAGCCCATTGTCATCATCCCGCGATAAACTTTGGGCAAGAGGAATCTTACCTTCCAACAGAGCTATCGTCCGAAAAAGCGACCCCAATTAATGGGAACCTACTGCACGTCAAAGTTTGGATGGTGAACCATTGAGAGCTTCCAAGCGCCCTGGACCGAGACGCGATTTGCATGAACCATCCTCCGTCCTGGTTTTCTATCCATTCATTTGGGCCATGCCTGGAAGGATCCGTAGTGGATGGATGACAACTCGTCAGCTGGATTGGAAATTGATCTATCGATCGCAACTTCCCAGCCGAGCGTGGTATACATGCAAAATGTTGGCGTGGAAATTTTTCTTTTCTTTTTTTCTTTTTCTTTCTTTCTTTCTTTCTTTCTTTTTTCTCTTTTTTTTTCTTTTTTTTTTTTTTCAGTTTGGGGGGGTTTTTTTTTTTTTTATACCGAATGATTTTTATTCGATTTTCTCTCTGTAGAAATGATATCGTCCCTCGCTGCTCGTTTTCGGATGTCACTCGGCCGACCCCCTTGCGTCCTCCTCGTGAGGAACAGTCGTAGATGAATGCCGATGACAGCCAGCCACAAAAAGGGAGTTCAGCTGAAGGGTTAACGGTGGGGATCCCACCCAACTGCCGTGCCCATCCAAGAATGTACGGCCAGACCGGAGAAGACTTCCAGAGGGAAAAAGATCAATTAAGACTCAATATCATACACAAGAATTAGAAGCATCATAAGATTCATTGTAACCAACAATCAACAGCCAGGGGTATTATTAAAGTCCAAGCACACACAGAGTGGATACAACCGTGTATCCGGAAACACAGACCTATACACATGCAGAAGGAAACAGTCCGTCCATCACTTCCGTCTTTTCTCTAAACCATCCAAGTAGTCATCCACCCAACGATGACCGTAGAATCAACAATTCTCCGAACATGCTTTTGTCCCAAACCAAAGCGGCACCAAATTACCACGTGACCCGCCGTGGATATATACGAAAATCATCCAAAATGTACATGATATAGATACAAAGGAAATGCAAAAAATGAAAAAGAAAAAAGAAAAAACCAAAGGAAAAAAAATTCAAAGGTCAAAAGAGTGACAAGGGGTCGGTCAAGCATATACAGAACGCTTCCAGGATATCATCCGAAATGAAGCAAATCAAGACAAAAAAAGGTATGCGAAAGAAGTCATACGATCATTCCAAAACCGAAGAATCGTCATTAGTTCAGCAGGTTGTTGAGACCCATACGCGAATCACGTGGGGATTCGGCTTTAGGTGCCTCTGGTCGGGACTCTTCGGGGGCAACAAGCCAGGTCTGCGACAATGAGGTTGAGTGCTGGTTCCAAGGCTGGTTGTCCGAAACCCATCTGGATTTGAAGGGCAGATCGGCAAATGTGTCCAGCTTCTTCGGGGTTGGATAGATGTAGACGTCATCCAATGAACTCTGCTTGCGGAACTCGCCATATTGTTGGCGGGTGTCCACGGGGAATGGCAGGAGCTGTGGCGATGAGATGGTCCTAGGGGATGCGGAGGAAACTGAGTTGTGGTCTGAGACCATGGATGGTGGCTCAAGAGAGGGAGTGTGAGAAGCCTCCGAGTAAGCAGGCGAGGTCAAAGGGGTGTCGACCGGGCGGTTGAGAGCGGGGAGAGTGTAGATAGGCGTCAATTGGCGAGGGCCGTCCAGGGAAGTGGTCGAGGTGGAGTCCCGCCTCGACCAGGACGTAAGAGGTCTATCGGTCGAGATAGAAGTAAAGCGAGACCGGCTGATCGGGCTGCTCAAAGACACGGAGGCGCGCGCATATGGGGCTTCAATCCGACCATTGAAAGTGCGTGAGATGTGTGAGGTGCTTGAAGTGGGGAGGCCTCTCCTCTTGCGGTTCATACTGCCGTTCCACCAGTTCTTTACTGCGTTGTCGCTGCGATTGCCGAGTCGTCGGGCAATTTCCGCCCACCGCTTGCCCATTTCGTTCACCATCCGCTCAATCATCAGACCCTCATCAGCGGAGATGGGCTCGCGGTTCAAAGATGGCTTGAGATTCTGGTGGAATCGTTCCCGGCATTGCTTGGGAGACCGGTAGTGCATGTGCTGCGAAATGCGCACCCAGTTGTTGGGGCCTTGTTCCCGAACCAACTGAAGTAGCAATTGATCCTCTTCAGGGACCCAAGGTCCACGGCGGTGAGAAGGTGCCATTGTAGACAAAGGCTCTGATATTTTTTTAAGAGGTTCTTTTCACTTTGTCACTTTGTTCCCTGTGACAGTCAGTCAGATGGATATAAGTAAGAGAAGGGCACGAGTGATCTGAAGTTGTGGGAAGGCAAAGTAATAAAGATGCAGAAGTGCCAGTAAATTAAAAAAAGGCACAGAAGGCGGGGAAGGTTGACAGTTAATATAATAAGGGAGGTTGAGTGCTTACCGATGGTGGGGGTTTTCGACTTAGTGCACCAGAGATTAAATCCCACAAGTGCTTATATGTATGTGTATGTTGGAAAAGGATAACCGGGTACCTGGATTCTGGAAGAGATTGGCTTGGTGGATGGATTGAAAGAATTTAAGGTTCGAAAGGTACGACGGTCCAGGTGGTAGATATATCTCCAGAAGGGTAAGGGGAAGAGACGGGAAATTTTGAAGTGATGAACAAGCAGGACGAGGGATGAGGTATGATCAGTTTTATAGCAATAATCAGAGAATAGGTACAATGACCAGGGAGACGGGTCAGAGAAAAATGGACTACTGCTCCACACTTACAGCACGCTATAGGAGAAGATCTTGAACCAAGATCTCGGAGCTGACAGTTGTCGGAGGTATAAAAATATTAAAATAAAATAGAAATAAAAAAATTATTAAAAATGAAATATTATTTTTTGGCGTGATTTTTTTTATTTGTTAATAATAATAAAATTATTTTTTTTATTCTATTTTATTTTCCCCCTCCCGCAAGTTTCGTTACCGCCAGTGTATTGTCACACTACTCCTGATCAATTCTGTATGTAATGTTGTATGCTAGGTAACTTCTGACTTTACCTGGGACACACTCTCATACTCTGAGTACTCGACATGGAAGGGGGTTTGTCACCCTCTAACCGAGATTATCGCTTGTTGCCTTACTCCATAGGAGCTCTAAATGTTATCCCTAGAGTCACAGGATCATTTATCCCCCCAAGATTCCTTCATTGTTGGCCATGTTCACTTAAGGTATTGTACGTAAAACCAATGTACATTGTTTATCTAAATATGGAGCCCGGTATGTATGGATAAACTTACAGTACGGAGTACCCGACATACCTGGATACTCCTGGAGGGTGTCAACGTAATAACATAAAATACTCAAGTGGAGAAACGAGGGAGAGGCTAAAGATTCTTTGCAGTATCTTCTTTGGGTAAGACCCAACTTTAGCCTACTCCGTACGAATTGACAGGGTAATAATTTTGAAGCACACCCATGCACAACTTCACTCAAATTAATTATATATATATATATATATTTTTTTTTCTTAAAAAAAAGAAAAGAAAAAGACTAGGGGGAATTTCCGGATCGTGGGGGAGAGATTTGCCACTATATGCCATAGTAACAGACTCTACCACAAGACTGGTGTTGCAACAGGGATCCCTGTAGTACTAATGACTTGTGTGTGAAACATGAATATGCATCGACTTCGCTTTTTATTTCCTATTTGCTTTTTAGGTGTACACCAAACCGACATCGCGAGTCATTCATTGTATGAGAGACAACAACATGAGACCTTCCGGGGGGAGCGGAAAGACTTTGTTAACCACACCCTCGTAAGGCTTACCCTGGTCACGATCTCCTCTATAATTATTATACATATGTATGTATGTATGTCCACCATCCCAAGTACTCCTACGGGGTTTTAACTCCGATGCCGCCATATCGGCGTTAATGTCTAGGAACTGTAGTATCTGTACGAACAGACACGTCGTGGTTTCCATATTAGTGCAAATCAGCCTCCATTCAGGTGACCTATTCTTTTATTTTTATCATTTTAGTCCATCTTCTCGTATATGCAGTGGAGACCATGTTCAGGGGAAAGTGTCGTCGGAATGGCAGAGAACAGTCGTTCTTGAGTCAGTCACACGTCTCGACACAAAAAATGATTTAATTAAATGGGGTACTGGAAAGTGAGTGCGAAGATGACCCCACGGTATCAATCATTACGGAGTAGACTACGAGAGGCAAAAAGGGAAAAAAGGAACAAAAAATTAAGGTCCGATCATCTCCGTGGTCCTAGTGCTATGGCCGATCCACACTCGACACCTTGAATATGAGGTTGGCCTATGCTCGTCTAGGTTCAGGGCCCTGACAGGAGAACGGGAGCGGCAGAAACGGTCTGTGGTAAGCGAATAAGGAAAAGTCTGATGTGTTGGGTGAGCGGGGCAGTCTTTTTTTTTTTTTTTTTTTTTTTTTTTTCCATGGTTAGAATTAGATATTCTGGGATATTAAAAAGTAAAAAATAGAAAAATACAGAGTAGGAAAATAGGAAAAAAGGGGGGTAGTATGTATGTGGAAAAGGGAGAAACAATTCCGTGAAGAAAATAACAATAATATATATCTGATAATATTATAAAATGATACTAGCACCACAGTGTAATATATTCTTCTCTAGTAAGTGTATATCAAATATAATCGATCCTTCTCAGTATACTCCATAGTAGTTGGATTTAAAAAAAATTATGCAAACATATTGAGTTAGTGTTAAGCTAGTGTGGTCGAATTGGTATCATCTCGCGATCAAGGCAGACAAAAGCTTCATGGCCATAGCTCCGGGCAACAGCAGTGCCTTCCCAACAAGAAACGGCGACTTCGGGGACCCACTGCTGACGGGCAGTATCCCTGCCCAGTCATGGTGGACAGATCCTTTCGTGCATTGATAGTGCATCGCTCTTAGTCTGTTTTAAGAGGTGCCAACCTTAGCCTGGTAGCTAGTTGACCGGCAATGGGAAAGGGTGGGAAGGAACAAGGCATTATTGACAGGTAGTAATTCCCTTTTTTTGTTCTCTTTAATTACAATCAACAAATAAGGCAATAGTCAAGGACAGCAGAACACAAATCAGAAGCCAAAAAAAAGGGTGACGAAGGATGAGAAAACACCACTGGATCCAAATCCTCAGCCAGCCATGTTCACTTTATCTCTCCACTCCCCGTGGGCCGTTACTGAGAACATGAACCGTTGGTGTGGGGGCCATGATTGGCGCAGTGCGTCTAATTCTGACAATTTGGAATCATTAGACTTCGCTTTCCTCGACTCGGGCAAGATCGTCGTGGAGATCGTGAATCTCGAATGGAGGGAACCTTTGCCTCGGTGCCAGTGGCTTCGCAAGTTGCCGAACTTTTTCCAAGACGGTCCCATGGGCTTAGTCATCCGCATCGCCCTCCCAATTAGGCAGGCTGTGAGGTCATCCAGCTCTGATGCTCAGCTCCATCGAACAAACACAGCCATTGTTCGCGTCCAGCATCCGTATCTGCGCCTCAAAGAAGTATATGCTTGGCCTTTTTTTCAACTATTGATTGGTATTACTGTGAAGGACAAAAAGGTTTCGTTCGGAGAGATTGCTGAGTTTACAGGTATGATCATCTCAATGCAGTTACAAATAGTCAGGATCCCACCAAACTCAAAGAGCAGGCCTATGGACAAAAGTACCTGATAGCAAAGGCCAGAGGGGTGACGGTGTCCAACCACCGGCTTCAGTTCATGTTCCTGACTCACGTTCGCTGCTGAATACTGGGTCCAAACTCAGCTCAACTGTGCCCGCCGCGGCAGGATGACGATTGACAGATCTCATGGGTCCCCTTCATGCAGTCTCCATTTCGCCTTCCATTCGCCTTCCACCGTACAATGCTCCGTTTGGCTGTTGACCCTCCATCTCCTAGTCCATGCATCACCATGCAGCTGTGCTCGAACGAACCGGCTGAAAGAGGGTTAATAGATAGACGGGGAAGTCGGGAACTTCCGCAAATAGATAGGGAATGAATGGATCATTCAGAAGAATGGCATTGAACCGTAAATCCGGCTTCTCTGATTGGATTGACCCCGACTCTTACCCATGAATCGAGGATCCTGCGCACAGGACGGTGCCGCTGTGCTGGTGTTCACAGTGGGGAGGGCAGCAAAAGAAAACAATCACGATGGAAAAAGCAATTATATTGAACTATAGAGCACTATCGTTCCTCCCATATCCACAGATGCTAATATCATCGATCGGGAAATGCCATCGGAGAATTATTCTCCGATCAGTCAGACAGACAAGACTGATTGGCCGATCTGGAAGTCATTGATGAGGACTGAGTTCCAAGGCAGTGGAAAGGGAGTATTAAGCTTCGGCAAGGAAGCGATCAGGACGCGAAGAGATCGACCATATGTAATGGAAGGCTCATTTCACTGCGATGATAAGTAACATGCCCGATGCTGCCGAGTCTCTCCGTAAACTAGTGAAATGCTGTCGGATTGACTTTCGAAGGAAGCCCAGTCATGCAAAAGGGCAGGACTCAATCACACCTCTCGAGGGGGAAACATGCAGTACAGTGGATATCTGGCGCTGTCAAAACTGTCACACTGGAGCGGTATACAAACTATATGCACCATAGGAACCATAAATTACATGACAGCCAATATGACAAGGTCCACTACACATGGCAGATACCACGAGCTGGAATATCAACTGTATTACGGCATACAAATTTTTCCCTTACTTTTTTTTTTTTTTCCAAAAATAACCCTGCTCAATTAAATGAAATTAATTACTCCAAGTACGAAGTACAGATGATGCAGTGATCAGTCAAATATCATAACCAATTTAACCGGTATGGTCGATCCTTCGTCCAAGCGGGCGACTATTTAGGGTGCATAGACCGCATGACGTGAGCCTCGATCGAGCTGACTGATTGGCCAGCATAATTAAGGTATTTGTCATTCTGGGGCAGGTGGATCCCGTCCTGTTTGGGTAAAGATAGGCGGGATCTTTTTCTTCGTGAGAATCCGAGGTGACCTCAATTCCCTTTCCTCGGAGAGCGTCCCATGTGCTCACATGGATCATCCAGACAATAAAGGAGCTTCCTATTCCGGTAACGCTGAAACAAAGCGATCCAGGTGACTGGTAAGTTGTGAAGAACAACTGTCGACAAACAATGATCAAACCGTCACACATCCAATTTCGCTTGACAAGAATTATTCATCTTACCGATCCTCGATCGAGATATTATTCTCCATTTTCAAGCTGGTGGTTAGACTAACATGCCGCACTATGCTTCCCCCAAGGACCCAGTTCGTGGCAAATAGTGGGGAAACCGCTATTCCCTGACGTTTGTTTAAGTGTGATCTCGCCCTGAGCCTCGTTTACTGTTTGGGGCAGTGAAACTAGTCTAGTACATTGTCGAGCACCGATGATGCCCATGGAGTTCCTCGGGGACCCTCGGTCTCCTCTTACCTATTATCTCCTAGGAGTCAGACGATCTTTGGGCGAGGGAGCCAATGTGGTAACGCCATTTCACATCTGTGGGCGGTCGTTGAATTGCCATGTGGACGGGTCCTTGCGATCCACCCTCGTGGTACGCAGCAAACAAAGAACTAGAATACACACGACCCCATCCATGCTTCTTACGTATACACGTTGGATCTTCCCGGTCAACCTAAATATTACTCGAGGCCTGTTGGATACATCCATGCCAGGAGAATTCCAGAGAAAGGGGAAAGAACACAGAAAGAAGAATACGACTCCGGCTTCGATCCTCATTTCCCGCAGGTCCAAACAGACAGGTCATATTACCTGGTCAACGGCTGACCCGAAAACTGATATTTGACTATTGATTGATCGGAAAGCACTTAGTGGAGTGGGAACCTTTGACAATGCGATACGCTAGTAGGTAGAACGCGCTGACTGTTAGAGTTTTGGAACCCGAATGGTCGCCGGCGGTTACCCTCAGGCTGGTACCAATCAAAGGCCCGGCACGTATTTGAGTTCTCTTATCCTAGTTCTTGAACATCCTGCAGGACAAAGGCGATCGACTCTGTCAATTGCCTAAAAAGCCGTGATACATCAATCTCTTCATGACAGAGTATAATAGATGAACTAGGATTGGATGCCTGGGGCATCACTACTAGCCGTACCAAACATTCGGGCTTACGACGTAGTCTCGAGGCGGGTTTCCCTTTTTTTATTATTCCCCTTTCTATCCATGCATGAGGGTAAAGGCTCAAGTCAGATAAAGCATGCATGGTATGATGCTCTGTTGGATGTCGGCCACAGATAATTCCATGTAGCACGCCAAGCGACCATCAGCACGTTTCAGGACATGTCTGGGGTTTGACATGGATGAGAACCCTTGGGCTAAGTAGTAATATCTCTTTTACGCAGGTTGTTCGATGCTGTGTAACCCCAAAAAGCCAATGAGCCAGGATTCCCGATGCAGGATACCCTGTAGGGGGGGTAATTAGAGTGGAGCGAACGGCGCTCTCGCATCCGCAGCTGTTTCCTGACTGTCGGGACACTGCGAACCTCAAGAGGCCCGAGCACCTCTCGGGGACGGAGTTTGACTTGTTTGTACGGATCAAAGGATGAAAACCAGATTAAAAAAAAAAAAAAGAAAAAAGAAACGAGATCCATGCCAAGGACAGGTCTAGCGTCGCTGCGTACATTCCATATTGAATCGTGAACCGCGAAGGATTGCGTCAATAGATCTACTACTATTTGTTTGACAAGGAAATCGCTTCTAGATCCCGAGTCCTGTCTCAATCGAGTAGGAGTCGAGATGGAATGATGTTCTAGAGCAATGAGTAACAACGGAGCTGTCATCCATCCATACAGTAGGGTACTGCGAAATGATCGGCAGCTTGTAACAGACAAAATACAGGGCTGCATAAGATACCATTCCATACATACAGAAAATACCCCAATACACAGTGACCGCCCTCATGGGTTTCATGGACTGGTCAACTGTATTATATATATATGTTCCGTGTATATATGTATTTGTCCCAAAAAAAACCGAAAGAAAGGGTACAATCAAGATAACCTCGAGTCGAGGAAATGATGATACCCCACCGAGAAGCTTAAGAACCAAAAGACGTTGGTAGAAAGAGTCAGTATTCAAGTACACATGCCAAAATCTTGGGTCCATCGTTTTTTGTCAGAATCGATTTTTAACTCATACCCGTAAAAACGGTGAACCTTTCCCATGGGATGGCTAAATGAACCTAGATACCAAGAAGCTAAATCTGGTTGAACTTGGCGGGTAGTAGTAGCTGTAACCTCGTAACTCCTGGAGTCGAGGGAAGCAATAATCTGGATCCTTGGGACCATGAATGACGTTGAAAGCCACGACCCAAGTTTCCTCAACCTTGAGCGTGGTGTGTGTGTGTGTGTTTACGACAGGCTAAGACTTGCTCCATACCTAAAAGGGGGGGGTGGAGAGGAGAAAGCGCTTGTCAGAGAATACGAAGGGGGTACCTGGGTGGGCTTCTGGGCGGCGTCCATTTTTTTTTTTTTTTTTTATTTCTCGGGCTTTATAAGTGAGAAAAGGTGTCGGGGACCAAGTGGTTCCCGATTCGCCCAAGTGCCCGAATCTCCCCGTTCCGGTTTAGACTCCCTTCAGCCTCTAACAACTCCGTAAAGTCTGGATTTTGCTCCGTCGGACTTGTGCTGGTTAACCTTGCCCTAAACCTAACTCAGGGATTCGGACAACGACTATGTATGTCGCATTCGTATATAGCCAATTTATGCATAACATATTCATCCATGACAGTCAGTCCCTTGGCCAGGTTGGACCTACGACTCGATAGTGGTTCAATAAATCCTACGCCTATGTATTCGTGTACCATGTCTCGCCCTTTTGATAGTCTCTTTCCTAGTCGGTGGAGCTATACATCCAAGTCCCCTGTCGAGGAAAATAAAAAATAATAAAAGAAGGCCGATGGCTGATGCCCAACGTGAGGTCTAGAAGATGCTTCATAGTGTATATTTGGTTCCTCCTCATTGCCCTTCCCCCCCCCCCAACTGCCAAAGCAGAAGCGGCATCGTTGTGACGCCACAATCCCAATCTAGTGGTATCTGACCCTGCAAAATACCAAATGGAGAAGCCCCCCAACCTCGAAAGAGTAGGAGATATCGCCAATGTCTCTCTCTTTGTCACAACCTGAACCCATGGCAAGGGTTGAACGTTGTCTAGGTTCCAGGTCCATGAAGTCGGGATCTCCTCAGTCCCACCGCTATACGAAGAACAACTACGTAGATTCAAAGATGCCCAAAGCCACCTCGTACTGATTCTTTCAAGCAGAACGGGTGACTTTCCGCCCGGCAGGAGTGGGAAGCCATCCGCCTCCCCATTGTATCCAATTGACTTGCGGGTCCGGTCTTTGGCTTCTGCAGGGATGCCACGGTGAATGAAAACCAAAAAGACGGCATCTCGAACATCTTGTTTGGCAACCCTTCCCCCCCCGCCTGGGATATCCCCATACATACTAGTCCGTGATCCTAGAATGAAACATGATCCTGGTAGAAACGCAGTGGCGTCGAGAAACACCGGGATGCGGCACGGCCAAGCATCGGATTTTCAATTTGCGTATGGCTAAGAAAGCCGTTGCACATCATCGACTGAGGGATATCTTGGACTCCCGCTGACACGCGGTATCCACTGATCTGCTGGAATCTGGAATCTGGAACCCTTACCTATAGTATTCCATTCTTTGTTTTAGTGAGCCATCGGGGAACGTGACTGTGCTGGGGGTTGCCTCATTCCGGTCGGAATAGTTTGTCATATGGCCCACCACTGCAGATACTTTGACGACAGGACCAGTGTGGGGTGGGTTGCGGGACATGAGACCGGGTGATTTGACTTTGCTCAAAGACTATCAGTGCAAAGAGTCCCACAGAAAAAAATGCAAGACAGTGATGTGAAGAGGGGTTGCAAGGCCCTTTTCGGGCTTTGGTGAAACGGTCTGTCAGATAACAATTCGAAGGTTCGCCGTCAATGCACTGGATAAAGACTGTCCCGATTAGGAGGTGACAACATACTCGAGATTTACAAAACACGACCGGTTGTAACGTCCAGCGACCTTTCGCTGTATTACGTCGAAACTGTCACAGATAGAGTAACTGACTGATACCGTACTTGTTGGTATATCTGGTCTATCTGTAGATACCAGACTATACTAGTCCACTCTCCCCTTCGGAGTGGCTCTGTGATCCTGATGGCGGAGGTCTGGTCAGATTAACGCCACCCGCGTATCCACTGAGTGGGCATATTCGGGCCATCTGCGGCATTTTCCTCCATATCCATGTAGATAGGTCGTCAGCTCGAAGCATTCATGGAGCACTTGGAGGCAAGCTGACTGGGCTATCAATCTGGTCAATGTCAAATCCGGAGCGGTTCGCGCGACATCTTTGCCCCCGCTTGCACCCTCGTGGTCATGGATGTTCCTTGCATAAATCGTATCTCTGTATGGGTGGGAAGCATAATCCAGTAATTGACAGAGCAACTCAAGCATTCTTTCCATCAATGAGTTTCACCAAGAGCGGCCGTCAGTACACCCCTTCCTTACTCAGACGGTTCGTGTTGCTGCACACGGCTACCTCATCTTGATCATAGATTACCTGAGTGGTTGATGGTCCTGATAGCTTTCCAGCCATTGAAGTTTCACGGAGTGAATGTAACCATAAATAACTTGCATTTAGAAACCTCAAAAATAGGGTTGGTGGTTGTGAAACCGCAGCGGCCTGAGGATGATGAGAGCCCGTGACAACCCCTTGCCTTTTTGGGTCAAGCCAACGTAGTTGTATTGTTCATTTCTTTGTCCACCACCGCAAGTGACTTCTTCACTAACGGAGTCTCTTGTCATCTACTGCCGATCCAGGAGAGTATGGCTGCCATTACGCACTACACACCATACCCCCGAAAGCATAATCATTTGCCGTTCACAATCACAGAGGAGACGATCAGACCGAGCATGACTCGAGAAGGAAGCAAGAAAGTGCTTAGCGGGCCCCTCACGATGAATCCTTCCAGCAACATCTCGTGGGTTCATTACCACTGGTACCCTTCGAGACTAGGTGAGCAACTAACCCTTACAGAGTGAACTTTCATCGCGCAGAAAAGCTTACTGACGCCTGCGTGCCCAGTGGACTGGTCAGACTTCCGGTAATAGTTGCAACTATCTTCATCGGGGCCATGATCTCACAGTGACGAGAGAAACAAAAGTACCGTTGCGCAAAATTGCTCATGGAAGCGTCCATGATATTAGAAATACAGCAGAACTAGCGATCTACTAGTATAACTTAGTGATCGTCTAGTCAGTTAACTATGGGCTCGGCTGTGAGCAATGCGGGTTGTGTGCACGGTTTCTACCCGGCTGTCGGAACTCTATCGGCAGGCGCCATCCATTCCAGGCCCAGCTTTTCAGCCTAGGGTCCCAGCACACAGGTTAAGCGCATTGCCATCCCGTCCGTAAGCTGGGAAATGTGCCCCATCCCCTTACGGCTGGGCAAATAAGCGATATGGACCGCGATCCACGGGCCCCATGCTGGTTTGAACTGCTTCACAGTCACCTCCTGGTCCCGCTCCTAGACTGCCTGTCTAACCGAGAGTTGTCAAATTAGTGCTGAATCTGGGAAGAATGTATCGTTGTTCTGTCGCACTACTCGAAGCCGGTGTCTCGGATTAACACCCGCTAAATGCTGTGGTACAATTACAGGTTCTAATATTAGGCATGAGCTTGTTGGAACTTCCCAATAACTCGCTTCCAACATCGTCGCAACGTGAGGAAGAGGGAGAAGAGAAGAGGCCCAAGAATGGGGAGGAAAGACTGTGTCACCGGCCCTCTGATGCATCGTACTTGCAATTTCGTGCCCGGCAAGGTGCCGGTCAAGATTTTCTACCCAACACAAAACATGACCTAGCCTGCTCCACTGACTCCTCACCTTTCCCCTCATCTTTCCGCTTGAGCCGGGAGGGGAGCGGCTACCACTGGCATGCTATTGCCAAGTTGCCAACAATGAGCCTGATATGATCAGCGTGGGCACACGTGCTGCGTGATGCTTTTGGCGGATTCAGATACATCACAATCCAACTCTTGAGTGCTCATCAATAAGTATAGGATGAGATCATGGCTTCCTCATAATTGAATCATCAACTTCCATTTTCCTGCTAAGAAGAGAAAAAAAATGAAAAATGAGCCATCTCAATGGCCAGGTTCCTCAGCCACTTTCTGGGTTCGGCTGAGAAGGCTTCGCCGGACCCATATTGGCTAATGATCAGTGGCGTAGAACGCATACAGTGGACTTGGTCACAATTTACACTTTTAGTAGGATCGAATTATTGTTTGTGATTCCATCATGCATAACGCATACATCTAATCAGGCTTCCGCGGCAGGCTCCATCCCAGAATTCCTCCTATACTTGGGCAGCTCTTATCGAAGCGTCTGTTTCTCAAAGCCCAAAGTTTGGGATTCTGAAACTAATTAACAGTTAATTCCAAAATATGGTTTCCACTTCGCTTGCATGAATGTGATCAGATGCATCTCATGCGATAGTACTCTGTATTCTACTTCTAACCAGGTACTGGCTTGGTTGACTCAGAGAATGCGCAGGATATATTCAGGTAACAAATCGATACATGACAAGAAAAATTATACGCTCGTACCAATCCTCTATGCCCTGACAAAAACAGGCATTGTCTCAATCGGACAAGCAACCTCGACTGTCTTGCCTCCCTCGTAGACCTTGTCTTCACCCCACAATGTCCATGAAGCCCCTGCTGGCAGATAGGCAGTTATCTTTCGCTGCCCTGCTTCAAGGACCGGCACTACAAGGTATTTAGATCCATACATGTACTCTGTCTCGATATCCCATGCGATCTTGTCCTCCGGGAACTCATAGAACAAAGTCCGGATCACCGGGGAACCCCTCTCATGGGCTTCTTTCATCAAGCTCCTAGTATAGTCTCGGAGCTGTTCGCGGATGCTAATGTACTTCTTGCAGATCTCGTAGATCTCCTCTCCATACGACCAGACCTCATTGTCTGATCCCGACGCAGTTGGCTGTCCCTCTGGCTTCGGTTCGCGGTCACCATGCAGACGCATCACCGGACAGAACGTCCCCCATTGAAACCACCGAGTAAAAAGCTCCCTGAATGCGGGATCATCCGGGTTACCTCCATGGAAGCCGCCGATATCCGTAGTCCACCAAGGGATCCCAGCTAATCCCATGTTCAGTCCGGCAGCCAGTTGATTGCGGAAGGAGCTCCAGGACGATGCAATGTCGCCGCTCCAGACAAGGGCACCATACTTCTGGCTGCCGGCCCAGGCACAACGGAGGAGGTTCACGATGTTCTGTTGCCCTTCAGCCTCCATGCCTTCGTAGAATGCCCGTGCGTACTCTTTGGGGAAGATGTTTCCGATCTGCATGTTGGGGCCGGCATGGTAGCGATATATATCGAAATCGTAGATGCTGTATTCGGGCTCCGCCTCGTCCAACCAGAAGACCTTGATGCCCTTGTCGTAGTAGTTCTTCTTCGCAGTTTGCCAGATGAACTTCTGGGCTTCGGGATTGGTGGCGTCGAAATGGGTGATGTCGCCATCACACTGCATGGCGATTCGCAAGCCGCGATCGTGGCGGATTAGGAGGCCTCGCTCGAGCATCTCCTTGTAGTTCACGGACGTGGTTTCCACGGTAGGCCAGATGGATACCATTAGCTCCACGCTCAGCTCCTTGAGTTCTTTGATCATAGCATCTATTGTTCGAGGTAGATGTTAGACGGTGTTTATATCTGTGGTGGTGCGAAGGACAACTTACCAGGATCGGGCCAGAATTCAGGATCAAAGCTCCAGTCGCCTTGATGTTTCCAGTGGAAGAAGTCAATGACAATCAGGTCTAGTGGGATCTGTCGTCGTTTGTATTCCCTCGCCACGTTAAGCAGCTGTTCCTGGTTCCAGTACCGGAGCTTGCATTGCCAGAACCCTAAGCCGTACTCAGGCATCATCGGGACATAGCCAGTCACCTTAGCATACGCCTCCTCAATCTCTGCTGGCGTGTCACCTGCGACGACCCAGTAGTCCAGCGCCTTGGTAGAGTATGCCTCGAAGCTCATAGTATTTGTTCCAAAAACAGCGCGTCCAATCCCCGGGTTATTCCACAAGAAGCCGTATCCGAGGGAGGAGATGGCAAAGGGGACACTGGCCTGGGAGTTGCGATGAGCCAATTCAACATCAGCACCCTTGAGGTTCAAGGATGGCTGTTGGTATTGACCCATCCCGAAGATCTTTTCCTTGGGATCGAGGGACTCGAAGCGCATGGTGAGGTGGAAATCGCCCCCTAGGATTCCTCGCAGCTCGCGAGCTTCGACATCCAAGGCACTGCATTTCGGATCCTTGGGGTCACGACGATTACGAGCGTATTCCTCCAGGAGCTTGTTTCCCTTGGAGTCGTAAATGATGACCTTGCCGCGCTGGGACACAACCGCTCTGATTTTGCCGTTGGAGATGCTCGCCTCCTTGCCTTCCGGGGTCTCGATGACGGGCTTACTTGCGCTGGGTTTTGTGGACAGCGCCCAGTCTTCGGTGGGCATCGATGAGAGCTTCGTCGCCCTCACTCTGAATGCGTTCTCACCCCATGACTGAATCCAAAGAAGATGGTCATCGAAGCGAAAGATGAGCTTGTCGTCTTCGACATAGAGCATGATGGGGAGATTGAGGTTGGTCGCGTGTTAGTGGGCTTAACTGGTTCAAGAGGGTTAATAACAAATACTGCGATCTCCGGAGGAGAAGAAATCAATTGTTACCTTGGGGACATGGAGCCATTAAATGATCAGAGCGAGTGGTGCTATTTGTTCCCCCCTCGTGGGGACTTAGCCTCACCAACGCAGCAGGCCCCCTGCAACTCATGCAGCAATGCGACCAACGCCGGGGTTCCAGCCGTCGGTATATAACGACAATTGGCAGTTTACCTGCGGAGGAGCTCCGGTGGTGGTGGGGGAAGTCTGATATATACTTATCCATATTAACCGGCGGGCGAGCGCTCTTCGGATTGGTACATGAGACTGACTATAGCCTAAAGGCCGCCGCGCCTCAAGGCTAGAGAGCACATCTCCAACGGCGTTCCTGTGGAGAAGAGCGATGATTTACCTGCGAGATAAAGATGTGGAGGCTCCGATCTCTTGGTTTCTCCCCCGCATTTCCATGACGTCCTGTACGCCACGGATCTCCATAGGCTTCCCAATTGGTATCTAGAATGTCTGATTCTCCAGTCTGATTGTGTATACAACGCCGCTAGGGAACTCACACGATGCTCCCTAAGCTTGGCAGTGGTCCTTCTATCCAACAGGATCTTAATCCAAACGATGTCATACTCCTGTCCAACACAAGCGTTTCACTGACACCCCCACGCTCATCCAGGCCGAGCTTACGCAGCTTGCCTCTTGACAGGCTCTCCGCTTTAAGCAATCAGATATCGGGGAAAGTTGGCCCGAGATCCTTGTGAATGAAAGCCCAATAGGTCAAACCAACGCTCACAACATATGCTGTACTCCATACCCCATGGGGAACCGTGTCAATCCTGCGGGGTGCATTTCATTTACCCCAGGAAATGGACAAAGTCCGGTGTCTTGGCTACTGCTTTAGAGTTAGGATGCAGCAGAATGATGCGTTTGCCCGTGGATGAGTTGCCTCTCAGACACTCATCGGAGCTATAAATACGTCGTGTCTCCTCGTATCTGGAATGCATAGCTCACGCACCTCTCTTAGGCTTTCCCGTGGGCATTGTACTTCTAAACATGAAAATCGACGAAGACTTTTCCAAGGAGCACAGTGCTCACATAGAACATGCCGTAGAAACTACGGTTCCAACCAAGGATGCCCTGCAGGCCTCTACAGATGAGCATGAAGCTACCGTATGGGAGGCTCTGAGACACAACTATAAAGCTGTGTTGTGGTCTGCCGTTATCTCGTTGTCCATCATTATGGAAGGATATGATGTTGGTGAGCATTATCATATATACTGCTATTTAATTGAGTTGCTGGGCTTTTGGTAACGGTGCAATAGCCCTAATTTACCAGTTCTTTACATACCCTGCGTTCCAACAAAAGTTCGGGTCATACCGTCCAGAGCAAGGGGACTATATAGTCACTGGACCCTGGCAGGCAGGTCTCAGCAATGGTGCCAACGTCGGTATCGTGATTGGAGGCTTCATGAACGGCTACTTGTCTACAAGATTTGGATATAAGAGAGTCCTTCTGGCGGCCCTCTTCTTTATGAACTGGTTCATTTTCATTCTCTTCTTTGCTCCGTCGGCGCCTGTGCTGCTCGTCGGGCAGATCTTGTGCGGGCTCACTTGGGGCATTTTTGCGACATCGTCGCCAGCCTACGCCTCGGAAGTATGTCCCCTTGCTCTCCGTGGATACTTGACTTGCTACGTGAATCTCTGCTGGGCCATGGGTCAATTTATCGCCTCCGGTGCCCTTTACGGCTTGCTTAAGATCGATAGCGAATGGTCTTACCGTATCGCGTATGCTCTACAGTGGATCTGGCCTGTTCCTCTCTTCCTCCTTATTATGTTTGCGCCAGAGTCCCCCTGGTGGTTAGCACGAAACAATCGTATGGATGATGCATATAAATCTCTTGCGCGACTCGACACCCGAGGTCGTGAATCACATCAGAGAACCCTAGCGCAGATCCTGCATACCCTTGAGCTGGAGTCAAAGTTGGAGTCCGGATCTAGCTATCTAGACTGTTTCCGAGGCATCGACCGGCGCCGCACCGAAATTGTCTGTGTGAGCTTCGCAGGTCAAGTCCTGTCAGGCTCGGCCTTTGCCTACACTCCCACCTACTTCTTCGTCCAGGCGGGAATCAGCACCGAAAATGCCTACCAGATCTCGGTAGGGGGTACGGCGATTTCCTTTGTCGGGACTGTCATTTCGTGGTTCTTGCTGACCCGGTTTGGTCGACGCCAACTATACGTGACTGGCATTGCCTGTTTGACCTGTTTCTTGTTGACCATCGGAATCACGGCTGCGGCATCTGAGTCCAGCAGCGCGAAATGGGGTCAAGCTGCTTTGTGTTTGGTTTGGCTGTTCACTTATTCCGTCACGCTGGGTCCGGTTACCTACACTATTATCTCTGAGACGTCGTCCATTCATTTGAGAGCGAAGTCAGTTTGCCTATCACGCAACGTCTACAATATCACCAATATCGTTGCCCAAGTCGTCGAACCTTATCTGATCAACCCGACTGAGGCCAATCTGAAGGGCAAGACGGCGTTCGTCTGGGCAGCGACCGCAGCGGTGACCGCCGTCTGGGCGTTCTTCCGACTACCAGAATGCAGAGGCAGAACGTATGACGAGCTGGACGTGATGTTTCATCAGAAAGTGCCTGCCAGGAAGTTCGCTACTTATCAGGTCAACGCGCATGATGCGGATGCACTGAAGGCGAGTCCTGCGGAAGGTGTTGTAGACTGTAGTGGTGACAGAGCTTGAACGAAATGTACCGGCGCTAATGTAACCTGGACTTAGAATAATGAAATGGAACTTATTCTTATTCTTATTAATTTATCATACACTTAAAAGAAATCAATGGATGATCTTTGAGTGATTTGTAGCTTCCAACCAAAATTAACTCCGTCGCCGCCTGCGAGCGGTGAGCCCAGTGACTTCTGCTCATCGCCGGCACTTCCAAAGCTTCAGTTCGCGATTGCTTCATATCTTTCTCATATCCCTCTCCTCCCCGCTTTAGTAGAAGCAGAATTTCTTTTCAAATTATATTCGTGTGTGCTACACATCTTCCTTACTGCATCAACCACATTTCCATTTAGTCCGCAAGTGACCCTCCCCCGCAATGGAGGTCGCCGGCGTACAACAGCCTTCCGCCTCCAACGGTGACCACGCCATGGATGCGTCAATGGATATCGACATGGACCTCGACCTTGGTCCGTTACCGGAAGCCGAGGCAATCGAAACTGTGAGTATGAATGCATCCAAGTTGCCCGCCGTGTCTCGTCTAACCCTGGTCGCGCGACTCAGGACCCAATGGGCGGAGCAATTCCCTTTCAAGATGGAGCCGTGGATCCCCAGTCGTCAGAAGCCCAGTACGAAAAAGTACACGTCAGAGGTGTCGACGAATTGACGACGGATAATATCAAGCAATTTGCGAACGAGCACTTCACCCTCGAAGCGCCTTCCCGAGTCGAATGGATCGATGACACATCGGCAAATCTCATCTACTCCTCGCCTGAAATCGGTCTCCAGGCTTTGTCGGCCCTTACGCAGGCTAGTGAAGAAGAAGATACGTCTGAGTTACCGGCACTGCGACTCCGATCCGCTAAGCTCCTCTCTTCCCACCCCGATTCCGTACTCCTGGTGAGATCGGCCGTGAAGACCGATCGCAAGAAGCCTCGCGCTCATGAAGCCAGTCGCTTCTACCTTATGCACCCTGAACACGATCCTCGCGAGCGTCTGCGACGGGAGTTTGACGATAGACGACGTCAAGGTGGCGGAGACGATGGGGATTACAGGCGGAGACGGTTCGACGGCCGGGAGCTGCGGCGACGGAGGGATCGTGACGGAGATGAAATTATTAGCGCTAATATGTATGACGATTCGGGGGCAGCTGGCACAGATTATTCCGAGACAGGAAGAGGTCGCGATGAGCGAGGTCGGCGCCGGGACCGGGATCTGGAACTGTTTCCTTCGGATGAAGGACGTCCTTCGGGGCGCCTTCAGAATCGCAGTGCTTCTCCGGGTCGCGATACGTTGATGGAGAGTGGGTATTCGGAGCATGACCGTCGCGAGTCGCGCAGGCACTTCCGGGAGAGATCGCCTCAGATCGATCGTCGGAATAAAGGCAAGGAACTCTTCCCGTCTTCAAAATCTTCCGGTGCCGATGCCGATGCCAACTCGCGAGAGCTATTCCCGAATAAACCAGCCAACAGTTATCTCAAGAAGGAGCTGTTCCCCAGTAAGCACAGCAATCACCGTCGGTCGGATGCCATTGATGCTGCGGACGAAACGGCCGACCTTTTCTCGAAGAGAATCTCAGTCCCTCTTGTGGATGGTTCTCGAGATCAACGACGGAACAAAAACGTCGAGCTTTTCCCAGACTCTGAAGAGAGGGAAGTTAATATCCGTGGAGCCGCTGGGCCAGACCAAGGGTTCTCAATTCGTGGCGCGGCAAATGGTCTCTCGATTAAGGGACGGGGCGCATCGGTTCGCGAGCTCTTCCCATCCAAGTACAAATCCAATGCTGGCAAGGAGCTGTTCTCGGATAAGATAGAGGGACGGGGAGGTCCACGACGGAGGGCGGAGGATATGTTCAGCTAAAAAGCTTTTAGAAACTGCACATCGGCGAGAAACGTGAATGTACAGTCATTCGGTATAATCGGGAACAAGGGAGTCTTTGAAAATCAGATAGAAAACGGGTCTAATGATGCCATCCAATTTGTGATACCAATGCTTTCCTCTTTTTCTTTTCACTTTCTTGATCTTGTCTACGACCTCTCCATATTTAAAAACCTGCATACTCGCTTTTTGCGAACATGTATTATACATTGGCTAGATTCTTGAAAACTCAGTGTGCCGTACATACGGAATGATATGACCCGAACCTTTTAAGATAAAAATTATGGTTATCGATCCCGGTGTTTATCACGACGTCCAACTACATTCCAACTTCAACACCAGGAACAATAAGCCAGAATGCCACCTACGTCTCAGAGCCCTCCGTTGGCGAGTATTTTGGTAGCCCGCTTCTTACGAAGCAACAACTACGCCGAGACTCTTAATGCCTTCATCCGTGAAGCGGGATTGCCCGCCGACGCGGGGCAAGTAACAGACAGCAAAGAAAACAACTGGACGATCGAGAGCGTACTCGAGGAGAAGAAAGCCTTCGACCAGACTCTGGGGTTCGAACGATACGGCGAAGAGGAAAAAGACGAGTGGAGCGTTCCTGGTGAGTCACTTTGCGTCTCTCGCCACAGATATATATAAACTCTCCCTCCACAGTCAAATAACCCAGCCTGGCTAACGTACCACACAGCACCTTCCAACCCCAAGCTCATAGGGACACCAACATCATCAAACATCCTCGCCTGCTCCGTGGATCCATGGAGACACCCCGATAGCACCGAGGACAACAACCCATCTCGTCTCATAGCCACAGGCGCAGACAAACAGCTCCATCTCTTCCAGACAGAAGCCGACAATGCCATCTTCAGCTCCCTCCCAGGGCTCTCCGAGTCCCCAATCCTCTCATACGCGCCTATCCGCAATGGAGAATACGTCTGTCTAACCAACATGTCGGGCCAGCTGCTTCTACAACGGAACGCCGAGATCCTCGACAAAAGAAAAGACCACGCCAAGTACGCCGTCAAAGTAGTCGCATTCGAAGACAACGATTCCTCCACATGGGTAGCCACAGCCGGCTGGGACTCCAAGATCAATATCTACCGTCTCGATCTCGCCAACAAAGCGATCGGCGAGCCCGTCGCATGCATCACTCTAGCCTCGAACCCGGAGTCGTTGCTCTTCGTCCAACACCCCGATACCAAGGAACTGCTTCTGCTGGTCGCCCGCCGCGACTCCACCCATCTGTACTACTACCAGGTCCAACGACAGCCGCCGTACGAATGCACCCTCCGTGGCAAACAGAATCTGGCGCCCCATTCCAACGCCTGGATCGCCTTCTCCCCGTCCTGTCTCGCCCTCAGCCCCCATGACCCGGGCCTCTTGGCCGTCGCTACCTCTACTTTGCCGCATATGAAGGTTATCATTGTGCGGCTTCTGTTCCCGGCTACGGAGAGCTTGCATGAGGGCGCGGAGCCGGAGACACAGGCTACGCAGGCTCTCGCGGCGCTGTCGCTTCAGAACCGCGAGGACGCTGCCATTGTGATCCAGGCTAATACGTTTGCGCCGCAGACGGCGTATTCGACGCCGCAGGTTGCTTGGAGACCGGATGGGTCGGGGGTCTGGGTTAATGGGGATGATGGGGTGATTCGGGGGCTGGAGGCTAGGACGGGGAAGGTGGTTACGGTGTTGAAGGATGGGCATGTGGCTGGGTCTAAGATTCGGACGATCTGGGCGGGTTGGGTGGATGTTTTGAGGGATGGGGAGATTGTGAGGGAGGAGTGGTTGGTTAGTGGGGGGTTTGATAAGAGGTTGATTGTTTGGAAGGCTTGATCGTATCACTTTGTAGTTGTGCTGGTTACTTGAGCTTGCGTAGAGATGCATGGGTCGTGTATTATATCTGACTGTCAACGTCATTGGGAGCAGATAAGGGAGAAACAGTTATGACAACGTAAATGAATTGATGTAGTATGAATTGATTGCTATTCTGGTCTACGGATGTAGCCCTCCGTCCATGCACCCTCTCGCCACAGAGTTCAGGCAGAAGGTGTTTGGTAATTGGAGGGCATGGAATCTTCTCTCGGCACGTTGAAAAAAATCCTTCAGCAAGCGCGCATGAAAATAAGCACGAAGCTGTACACACATATGCCTGTTCATACGAACATTGAAAGCCCATGATCGGGGCTGCGGAACTGCACAACCTACTGACCAAAACACACAGGAAGAACGGAAACAAGTGTCAGGCCATGTCGTGGAATCGAATCATATTGTCTTATTTAGCAACCGTTGCACGGAACCAGCCAGAGGGTCTATCCGACAGGACGCCTGGGATCATGGCACGTGTGAAACACCAACTCAATGCGCTCCCATTTTTAATTCATTTCTAAATTAAGTTGATTTATGCGATCTCACGCTTGCCCTCCTTGCGCTCCTTCTGTAGCAGTTGTTAGTCGGTCTTTTTTCAAGTGTTTGGCGAGTGGTCGAAGTGCGTAGGTGTGGAGAGGGGAGATGGTCAACGTACAAGAGCCTTCATGGTTCCGTGAAGAGCGTGACGGTGGTTGCGGCGGAACTTGGGGTCAACACCCTTGAGGGAGGGGTAACGGTGAGTCTTAGGCTTCTTGATACTGTTGCGAGTCAAGTATGTCAGCGGCCTGCTCCTCATCGTTTCATTCCGTAGTATCCATCTCGGAGGGGCGTTGGCTGAACATGTTGCATTGCTGGATCTGATCTCGATCATCCCGAGTTCGCTGTCGAAATAAACCGCCCACCACACCCAACAATACAACATATCGCCGCAATCCCCCTCCGGTCGAAAGACGTCGTGCTTCAGGAAGGATAAGGATCGAATGGTACGCACCCGTTACGGTGAGCCTTCTGGCTGTTGTGGTGCTGAGAGGCGTTCTTAGACTCTGTCAAGGGAAGACGTCAGCTATTCCGAACGACGAAGTCCAAAGATCCCGTCATTTTGGGAAATGATGCCAGGACCAAAAATCTCCATATTCATCCAGGAGAACCAAGGGATCACCACATACTGGCCATCTTGTCGGATTTGTCGCAACTGGGAGACGGTTGACGATGAGTTGGCGAGTGAGGTTACCCTGAACTGAAGCAGAAGGCGCAGAGACTCTCTCCGCCTTTAGGGCTCCCGTTTGTGGGATTTCGCTTACCGTCCGCGGCTTAGCGCCTTTGGTGCCTTACGTCCTTAGGTATGAGCCTACCATTTATTATACACAGTTACTATTACTCGGATTATAGACAGACTCTGAAGTGTATATACTATGAGGTCATTTAACTACATCCAATATATATTTTTTACGATAGAGACATTATTATACTGTGCAAAACAATCTGAAGATGGGGTCCTCCATAGGTATATCGGTATTCAACATCGGCCCGTGACCGGATGACTAACGAAATGCCATGCCAACTCTATTTGTTCACGTGATATCAAACGATGGTGGTTAGTTCAACATTCATATTCCCGGTCAAGACCCATGCAATATCAGAGCAATGATTGTTTGAAGGTACATTAGCCTGAAGTACCCGTAATTTCGGAGGTCAAAACTGATGGTCTGCATTGAGCTGACTCTCAGGTTCCCCATTTAGAGTAAGACTGTATGGATTGCAATCCTGTGTCTGCACATAACATACATCATACAGATACTAAAGAAAAATCCAGGAAAGAAAGACCCAGAGCCGAGGGACAGTAACCCATGTAGCCGGTATTGTCGGATTGATGTAGTAGTTGTAGTAGAGAAGACTGCAAGACTTTTGCTGGGGATTCGGAATGTCCGCCACGTGACCGGGCAAGAGCCGCTAGGGAACAACCGGCATCCGACTTCGACCTTTGCAACTCAAACACAGGTCCAAGAGGGATACCATCACCGTCGTCTCCTCCCCATCCATTGCAAGATGAGCTCTCTCCGCTTCGCTCGCTCTGCCCTCCGGGCCCGTCCCTCTGCCTTCCGCGTTCCTCTCCAGCGCAGAGGTTACGCCGAGGCCGTGAACGACAAGATCAAGCTTTCCCTGGTCCTTCCTCACCAGGTACGCCCGACCCCGAGGTTCCCTCCTTGTACACGTATATGTTGCCTTAACTAATCAATTTCCTACTTCATAGACCATCTTCAAGTCGACCGGCGTGTACGTTTGTTCCGAATCCCGCCCTACCGAGAGTTGAGGGTCGGCCCTGCCTCGTTCGCAGCTGTACTTACGATCTTTTTCATGTAGTGTCCAGGTCAACATTCCCGCCGAGTCCGGAGAGATGGGTGTTCTCGCCAACCACGTCCCCTCCATTGAGCAGCTCAAGCCCGGTCTTGTTGAGGTCGTTGAGGAGGGTGGTGCTACCAAGAAGTTCTTCCGTACGTCCGACGACCCATGTTGACGCCGCGCCCCGAGCCAGGACTGGTCGATGCGGGCTACATCAATGCAATATTGAACAACGCTGACATGCATAACTCGTGCTGCTACAGTCTCCGGTGGATTCGCCGTTGTCCAGCCCGACTCCCAGTTGAGCATCAACGCTGTTGAGGGTTTCCCTCTTGAGGACTTCAGCTCCGACGTACGTCCCGAATCTCGACGTGTATCCTGAGATACATACTAACGAACGCTTTTCACCACAGGCCGTCAAGAACCAGATCGCCGAGGCCCAGAAGATCGCCAGCGGCAGCGGCAGCGAGCAGGATATCGCTGAGGCTAAGATTGAGCTCGAGGTGAGTAGAACCCATGTTCCGTTGTGGAAACAAAATGAGCGGTCAGCTAATGTTTTCTACAGGTGCTCGAGACCCTCCAGGCTCACCTCAAATAAATTACCTGATGTACATATCCACTCGCGATTCCAACCTTGAACGTGTAGAACTATAACCAATTATTATTCTTTATTGACCTCCCAAACACGTGCTTCCATAGCATCCTTACTATTGTGTTGCCTGTTGTGAAGCGTATTCTCGTGACTCTTGCGCTTTATAGTACACACGCTTTTCTCCTTGGCCTTTGCCCTATTAACCATAGCTATACAATATTCAACCAAAGCACTCATTATTACTCCATAGTCATTCACTGACCATATTGCCCTTCAGTGAGTAGCATACATTGGCATAAATCATGTTGGATTCAACATAGATACGGCCATATAAGGATGATTCAAGCTTAGGCGACGGCACGACTACCTGACTTTATGTCATTTGCCCTGAGCGATAATCTTGTGGTTTCGTTTATATCAATCCTTGGGTTAGGGTCATTTTTATGGAAATGGTCCAGATCAGATATCACACGTACAATACCGCTATTAACTTTTACAAATTTTCTATCAAATCCGCGAAGTGTGTATACAACTACGGTAGCTTTGAAGCACAGAATGCACGAAATGAACCCATTAGAATTCTAATGTCAAATGCGAAGGCGAAATCAGAACAACAGATCATGAAAGGGCAAAAAACAAAGCAGATAATAGACGGATGAAAGAAGCCACAAAGATGAATAGAAGTGAAACGCCATATACATAATCGACATATCCCTCCCATCCAGAACCCATACCCATATCCATATCCATTTCCTCGTCCCGTATTTGAGGTATGTACGTACATTTTCGGCGTAGGTTTTCCTGTCCATGATTTTGAATTGCTGTTCAGGGCCCTTTCGGTTATCATAAGCAGTGAAGAGCGTTTTATCAGCTCTTCTGAGTTGTGGTACCTAGGGCTAAAAAAGGGACTAGACAGGATCAACGTTTGTATGCATCATTAAGTTGCCATTTCATCGTGTCGATATCAAGGGGTAAATCGTAATAACATGAAGAACAACAAGGGGGGAAAGCGCAATGGGAGCGAAATATACGAGATCGAAATCAACAAAACATCTATACATGTGAAAAGAGGTTCAGAGGGAAAGTACCCGCCGAAGACATCCGTCAAGTGAAATCCACGCTGTGTTGTCGTTCTTGTCGGGCGCGAGCTCGTTCCGCTCGTCTTCGTCGCCGGTTACTTGCGTAGTCTCCGCTTGCTTCTGTACCGGTATATGTACCAGGGGATGTGACGCTCCCTGGGCCATACGGCAGACTGGAAGGTACATGTGGCGGGGGAGGGGGAGCCATATGGCTCATGTTCTGGGGCGGGGGGATAGGTGGTGGAGGTACGCTTCCAGATGGGGCTGTGGACATTCCAGCGGCGGCAGCAGCAGCGGCAGCTTCCTGTTCTCGTTGCATTCTTTCGTGCTGTTGACGCTCTAATTCTTCAACGCGGCGCCACCGGTCGTGGCTAGCTTCGTTGCCTGACAGGGAGCTTGCGCTTCCGGCGCGACGACGAGAATTTCTCCGTTCCCTACGTCTTGCTTCGCGACTTGCGGCTGCCTCTTCCTCCGTTAACCTTCTGAGTGTGACATGCCGACCATCGTTGTGCATTTTGACTTTCACCGATACTGGTGGGGAGCTCGTGTGATCATCTCTGTGTCTACTACTGCTCCGGTGCCTGCTGCTGCTTCGGCAGCGATGGCTGGAGGCAGCACCCAGGGCACTTCCAGCGGCGGCTCCAGCCGCAATATCAGAGGGATCAAGTCGAGAGGGAGCATGACCTGGCATTTCCGAGGTAGGTGCACCTGGGGGTAAATCGGAATGATGCCCATCGATTGCTCCAGACATGGCCGGGTCACCAGTTAAAGCTGATTCTCCGTGTTGAGGTCCCCGCGGAGGTCGTGTCAGCTCAGTGGAGGAGATGTCAGTCGCGGTGAAGGAGTCGGTTCGTCTGCGAGGCGGGTACCCATCCCCAGTATAGCGTCGTTTGCTGTCTGCTCGGGCAAGCCTTTCCTCCTCCATCTCTCGACGGCGCATATCTTCTACACGACGATCATCATCATTTGCCTTGCGACGAGTAAACATGTTTTTGAGGGCCGCAAAGGCGCCCGCACCAAACAGGGCATTTCGAGCTTTGTTAGGTCGGTCATGGTCGTTATCGGAAAAGTAAGTTGTATTGTAGTAGTATGATGACCCGGGACTTTGAGGTCTACTCGGGGGTCGGCTCGGTGGGCGATTGAGAGGGGTTCTGTGACTTGGTTCGGGTCGTCGTCCATCTTCCATCCTACTCATCGTGGTCTCCGTCATGCTGTCACTTCGGTTATGGGCGCGCCGATACCGGCCAGATTCGGCATCATTGTCTCGGTTTTGTCTCCTGTCGAAGAACTTCTTAGCGAGGAAAGCGCCACCGCCCACCGCACCAAGTTTAAGCAGTTTACCGCCCCAGCCTTTGCGCTGAGCTCCTTCATCTGAGTACTTTTCCGACATATAAGACGTATGAGAGTCCTCATAACCATCTCTTCCCCTACTCTGAGAGCGACGCTTGAAGAGTGAAGCTAGTCCTGCTCCTGCGGCTCCCGCGGCCGCCATTCGCCCGAAACTGCTCTGGCGATGACCAGCAGGGCCGGGGGCTGGGGGTCCAGAGACATAGCTATGTCGACTGTCAAGGTCGGGTCCCGGTGGGTATCCCTCATCATCATATAGGTACGACAGGACGAAAAACGTAACCAAGAGGGCAAAGGCAGCGACAGAATATAATATGAACAACGACTTTGGCGAACCATAAAGGGTGAGTCCTAAGGGAATCTGAATGAGTCCGAGGATGGCAAGAGCCCGGCCAATCCACCGGTGGATCTGAAAATATGAAGTTAGCTTTCGAGGTGAGTGTTGGGGGTGTAGCATTCTTCGCAACTTACCACTAATTTCAAGGGCACTCGATATCTTTGCCGCTTGCTTTCTACTTTGTGGAGAAACCAGCCCCACAGGATCTGAAAGACAACCATAACATAGATTGCCAGTCCAATCCCGTGGTGAGGGTTTGTGAGACTCCTCTCCGGCCCAACTGCAAACCATCCGCAGACGAACACTACTGTGCTTAGCAGTAGAGTTAGGACTTGGAACCAGGCATGCAACTTGAAAGCCACAAACGGATTCCATCGAGAGTAGTATCGAATGATTAATATTGATATCGGAACAAGACCCAGGAATACGATTGTCCCAATCACACCATGTACGACTATTAGGGTATGATAGTAGGGCATATCCTTGAATCGGTTTCCCATGCCTGACACCAAAGTAAGAACGAGAGCTACCAAGGTCGGAGATTCCACATACCATTGTATCGCATTGTATCAAAATTGACCCCCATCAAGTTGGGCAAGAGGAATGTATCGCGCCCTGCATCCCATGTCCCGTCGCCAACATGTAGAGTATCCGAGGCATACGTGCTGCTCCCAGGAGCCGTGAGATCCGAGTTACCAGTCATGGTTGGCTGTGATTTTGTGTATTCCGACTATATGCAAATATGCTGTCTCAAATGGCGATCTTGCGACACTGGAATGCCGGAATAGATTCCCGAAGGAGATCTAATAGATCCCCCACACCAGAGAATGCACCATGCGCCAGTAAGAGATGCTGATGTGAGCACGATACGTCAGTGACCAGATGAATTGTCGAGAATGATCGCAAGAGCACGATAGATCGAAGAGGTTGGTTCGGCCGAAACTGATGATCGGATGTTTACCACCGTACGCGCTTCAGGATGGAAATGTAGATTGTCAGACGAAGGAAAGGCGGGGAACAGTAGGTGAGGAAGGATGAGAAGTTGAAGAACCGGGCCAAACAGCGATGAATCCTGAACGATGAGATTCAAGTCCAAAATCAAATCAATTGACCAAGCAGGGGTACCATACCAACCGCGGTTTCGATCTTGTCTGCCACAGTAGGGAGATTGGAGGCTGGAATGTAGATGCATTGGGATTCTTCCAGCTCCGATCAACTGTTTTCCGTTTTGGGTTTAGCGGGCCAGCGCATATCCCGGACAACCAGCCGCTGACTCAGCCATCCTCAGTCATCCTCGGCCGCGGACCGCCTGCCGTTCTGGGCCGTATCGCGTGCCATGCCGGTTCCTTCGTATCTTATCAGTCGCTCGCAATCGATGACGACTACTCCAGTTGGATTGCCATTTCTCTTCTTTCTGAAAGCCTACAAGAAAACGTCCGGTGAGGCCTTCATATCCGGACTCTTCAATGAGTCGACGGAAAGATCCGAAACAAGGGGAAACATCGCTGAACCACGGGTATCTGGCCCACTGGATTGATAAGCGACGACAACGTGTTGATAGCTCACATCCCCGATATCGCCGAGGCAAGGAGGTTCTGATCCTCTGGATTCCGGTCGCTTGGCGAAGTGAATTCTAGCTTTTGTCTCTCCTCTCGTTTATTCTACAAACTCCCAGCGTATCCAGATCACTCGATTCCGGGATCATGTCGCCCCAACTAGAGATCTTCATCAAGGCCCTTTCCCGGTATGTACTGCGGACATCGGCTACAGCCTTGGCGCGAGAAATAGCCCCGCTCTTCCTGAGTCAGTAACACTGATACATTCTACGGTACAGCCTCTTAGGATGGATATAGTACGTCTTCACTTTGTGTTAACTTTCGCTCTACTTTCTGAAATGGCTGGACGACGTATTGAACGCACCGGGGACTGACCCGTGCAGCACGTTATGTTGGTCCGCGTCCTTTTATCCTCAGCCGATCACCAACTTTCGGCGCCGGTCGACAGTTGGCTTAGCCATTGATTTTCCCACCGTTAATACTTTGGGATATGTGTGCTACACTGGCTATACGGCCGCCTTCCTCTACTCTCCCGTGATTCGTCACCAATACGCCGCTCGTCATCCCGGGTCCGAAGGGTCTACCGTGCGGTTCAATGACTTTGCCTTTGCGGTGCACGCTATCATCCTCAGTGCCTTAACCTACACGCAATTTTGGCCCGCGGTCTGGGGATTTAAGGTTTCCCGCTTCCAACGCGTTAGTAAGCCAGTCGCAGGGCTGTTCTGGGGATCTATCGCGGCCGTCGCTATTTTAATCTTTATCGTCCTTGGTCAAAGCCCCGATGGGGGCTATGATCCATCCGGCTGGGGATGGATCGACGTCGTAAGCCACCAACGGGTTTGATGTACCTGCGTATTACTAACATACCACACTGTCTATTTTAGGTATACGGTCTCTCCTACGTAAAACTACTGGTCACCATTACCAAGTATGTGCCGCAGGCTTGGGTAAACTATAAACGCAAATCCACCCACGGTTGGCATATCGGACAAATTCTACTGGATTTAGCGGGCGGGATCTTGTCCTTGATCCAGCTGTTTCTCGACTCGAGCTTCCTGGATGATTGGAGCGGCATCACGGGCAACCCGATCAAGTTCCTGCTGTCGAACGTCTCGATCCTTTTTGATATCCTCTTCATGGTGCAGCATTACATTCTCTACCGGGGCGCGGACGATCCCGTCACCAAGCATCAAGACCCCGACGTTACCACCCCTCTGTTGAACGAGTCCAACGGCGCACCGAGGACGGAAGATGTGTGACAGGGCTGGGGGAGAGATGGCGATGCAGTTGTGTCGTATTGGAGAGGATGATGATATAGATTCTTTTCCGGGTTTGCATTGGTTCATAGACTGTTGTTATTTTGGGTTTGCCACTTAACGGCGAGAGTGTCATCTTAAACTATGATTAGATCCACGGACTACCTTAGTCTCAGGCGAAGGCCCTGAATGTGATCGAAGTAAAGACTGTGTGGGGCACCGCATTGCTGTTCGAGTGAGATGTCAGCTGAAACGTTCGGAGTCGACTGGACCCGATCTGTCTCAGAGTAGTTTGTTGTTGGCCTGTATAGAAGACGATGCGACGAAGACGCGACAGGACGACGTACTAGTCATCGTCCACCGATGAAGTACCGTGACACCGCTCTTTTTGCAGCTGCGGTGGCGCATCGTTTGCTGAACCGTCCAATGGTGGTGGTGATGGCGCGTCTCCACATGGGGTTATCCACCAATCCACGGCAGGGATCTATGCATATCTGTTGGAACCACTGCAAGAACGGTGGGAATGAGGCTTATCCGCTACGACCCGAGGAGCGGTGGGAAGCACCAAATTCGGTCATTGGGAATTGGCGCTGAAACGGTGAAACTTTGACGCCCAGTCTGACGAATGCCAATGGCATTCCTCCGTCGAACACCACCGGTACAACCACCACAAGATCTTCCCGTCGTCCATGGGAGGGGAAGACAAGAGTCGGAGATCCCGGCCTGGGTCCAGGATAAAATCCGGAGGGGCTGAGGCTCTTGACTTCTCTTCGCTGGTAGAGCCATGGATGGACTCCCAGGGTACCCCCGAACACGGGATGACTGATGCAGGTCTCTCTGCACGCATTCCCGCAGTTCACAGCCCACATCCATGGCCTCGAATGAGATCTCCTAATCCAGTCAAGGTCGCCAGGGCCATAACCGTGGTCTGGGCGGGAGTCTGTTCAGCCCTACCAGGGAAAAGCCAAAGAGGCAAGTGGGAACCATTTCACTGCAGTTGCCAAAGACCACTAGCGGTCGGCATGTCTGTCGATCTCTAACTTGTCTATCCGAGCGAGCCAATCAGAGCACACCGGCGACCCTGTCAGCCAGGTCACTGCCCGTCCTGATTGGCAACCCACTGGAATGAGCTGCTAAGAATACCGAGTAAATGTGAAAGTTTGTCGTGGATTTCCTCGACTTGTATCTCCGGCCGTCCTCGGACTGGCCCCCAGATCATCACCGAACCGATCGAGAAGGAGTCCACACCTCCCCGCTCGTCCACATCATGTCTCTGATCCTCTTCCCTCGACATTCCCCTTCCTCATTCGTTCGCAGTATATGACCCAAGTCTAAGTTTAGTGTCCTGAGGCGGTTCAGCATGTCGCTGCATTTTTTTTTGGGTTTTTTGGGACGTCCGTCCGGCACGTGGACTCCAACCAACAATGCGGAAATGGAGAAAGAAACCACTGTCCACTGTCCATAGTCCTTAGTCCCTCCTGGCGATCACCCAAAGTCCACCGCGAAATGCAATGGAGGTACCTCACAGCCCTTCCGAGACACATCTCTGGTCCAAAGTCACTTGCAGACACGAACTCACCACTCATCACCACTCATCCTCACTCATCTAGACCCCCTCCAACTGTCAGCTCGCGAAACCACTGCATAGCCACCACGTCTTACTTCCCAAACGGCCGTCCCTACAACGTGGGGCCCCTGTTGATGTCACCAGCTGATATTATATATTTCTTCATCTGTCGGATCGGGCAATAGACGTTGCAATTATTACTCGAATGTGCATGCGTATTTGTGATCGTTCTTCGTTCTTCTTTTCCTTCCATTCTGCTATATCATCCGTGCTTGCCATCCTTCTCCCCTGGCCTTTTTTTCATCTTTGGATCATCTACATCGGATCTTGAATTGAACTGAACTGTGATCATATCTATACCTACTTTATACAGACATACATACATACATACATACATACATACACACACAGACACAGAGACACTCCTAGTGACTAGACAACAACTAGACCTTCATCCAAGTGTCCTAGCCAATTCCTCCAATTCTATGGGCACCATGGACCCATCCACCGGCTTCGATCTACCAGCGGGAGACTACCCAGCTATAGACATCCAAGCCGGGCTCGGCATCTCCATACTCCCCTCCAAACGCCAACCATACACCCCAGAGCCATGCGCCTGTCCCCCATACCCACCCCAACCGCACCTCTACACCCCACCAACCCTGCAACACTACGCCCTCCCGGACATGACCGACATGGCCGACCTGATCCCCTACACAATGGAACGGGTGCATTTGCGCGAGCCCCCGGAGCTGGAGAACAACATGTTCTACACCCCATTCCGGCGCGCGGGGGACTTCTCCTCCTCCTCCTCCTCGTCGTCGTCCACATCCACCGCCTCCTCGATACACTACCCGACATGCGACTCCTTCGACAGCAACACTCTACACCCAACCGACTACTACCCAGGAGCAGGCGCCTCAGAATACCTGCACACGCCATCCTCCGTATCATCCCCCTACTACCCCCCCGACACCACCACCACCACCTGCAGTAACACACCGACATACCCACCACCACACCCCAGCCCGACATCCGCCACAGCAGCCGTGGTGTCCGCGTCTGCAGGCCCACCCCCGGCAGCCACGCAAAAGGACCTGACGCACTACGGCATCCAAACCGCCGACCAGACCTGGCGGTGCGCGTACCCGGGCTGCACGTCGCAGACGCTCTTCCGGCGCGGCTGCGACCTCCGGAAACATTTCAACCGCCACCGCAAGCACCTGTTCTGTCGGCATCGGGGGTGTCCGCAGGCCGTGGCCGGCGGGTTCTCGAGTAAGAAGGATCGGGATCGCCATGAGGCGAAGCATAATCCGGTCGTGTGTTGTGAGTGGGCCGGGTGTGAGAGGGTGTTTAGTCGCGTGGATAATATGAAGGATCATGTTCGGAGGATTCATCGCAGGAGGGAATGATCTTTGTTTTTCTTTTTCTTTTGACTTGGCTTGGTTTGGTTTGGGTTTGGTTTGGCTTTTCTCTTCTTGTGATTTGTTGTGGCTTATCTTGGTTTTAATCATGGATTTGGGTTATGGGGTTGGATAAAGGGCAGGATCAACTGTACTGTATTATTAGACGATTTCCTTTTTTATTTTCTTTTCTCTTTTTTTTTTTTTTTT